AGCGACATGTACCCCGTCAATAACACTTCAACTTTTCTCATTTTGATTTTTCTTGGATCTGATGCCTTCCACAACCGTAGCTTTTGGTATCTTGCTTCCACGTTTTTGTTCTCATTCTCATGTTATGGCATATGATGAACTCGAGTCCGTAAATGTTAGAATTGGTTAAACCTAAACGTAATTGTTTACGGTTGCATACTGATGATTCATATGGTAATCTCGATATACTTATTGGATGTTCCTCATATAATCAATCATAAGAGAATCTTAGATCTCAAAAAGCCTAGTTTATTATTTTTTGTTGTTTACAGGATATATGCAAGACTTGAGAGACTGTTTTTGATAGATTACTCTTTGGTAGCTGCTGCAACGGGCAATAGCGCATCTATATGGTATTAATAAGCCTTCAACTTTACGAATAGGCACTTGTATATCTTCTTGACATAAATTGTGATGCTTGATGTTTGTATATCATTGTAACTCTAATTCATACGGTAAGAGACGGGGCTTGCAATAGCCTTAAGCTCTATTGGATTGAAATAACTTCCATTCAGACAGTGTTGTTATGTTTTTGATAAATATCTCTTTGTTTACTTGTTGTTTACATCACCATCCATATACAATGATGTTCCCTCATTACGTACTTGTTGTGTCTTCTTTGTTTTCTTGACCTTGTGAGAAACTTTTGTTGATGTTTTAGGGTTCTTTAGAATTCTGCCTTCACTCGGATTCATATAAGAGAATCATTATCTTGTTAGACTTCATCACTTTTCTTTTTGTATTATCAAATTCTTTTTTGTATGCTTTTTTTGTTTTTGTATGTTCCGACGTTGTACTTTCCGTCAAGCGATATGCATTATTGTGATTAAACTGAAGAACTGGTACTTGTTCTACTCTCATTTTCCTCAGCGCTCTCAAATATTGAAGACCATCAGAGTCACTTCTCAATGACCTTATAGAACCGTCGAGGTATGCGGTATGCCCTAGCTTTAGTCTTTTGGGATCCGTGTTTATATAATAAAATCTTTGAACTGAATTAACAAATTGTAAACAAATCCTTTCAGCATAATCAGATTGATATAATGCGTTTTTGGAGCATTCTAACCCTTGTTTTGTAGGTTTTTATCGAGTATTTCATTCTATTTTGAGTCATTTTAGGTCAAAAAGCGGCTGGAATGAAGGATGGAAACTCCTGAAGAGACTTGGCGAAAAAGGAGGGAAACTGGATCTTTTTGAAGATTCTGAAGATAAAGAGCATCCGCTCCCGATCGGCTGACCTGCTCCGCAGAAGATCCACTTTTGGAAATTTTTATTAAACCTATTTTCGCCACCGAGGGTTTTTCATATAAATCCTAGCCGCCCCAGACCTAAGGAGGCAACCGTTTTTCATCAAACTAATAGAGAGAACACGAGTGAGAGAGATTGGATACTTTGTTTTTAGAGTTTTGTAAGATTTGAATATTGTCTTCCATCA